AACGCCTGGCTTTTTTTTGGTTGCAGCCGTCATTATTGCTTGGGGGGCCTGGGCTGGATTCGAACCCGCCACTTTAGGTGTATGTGGCTGGCGCCTTAGCCGCTTACGCCACAGGCGCCGAGCCATGGGACGCAGTTATAAGAGGGACTGTATCTAACAAATGCAATCAGGGTAACCTAATCCTTTGTAACTTCAATGAATCCCAAACAATAAAAAAAAAAAGTTGGGGCGGCGCCTGTGGCTCAAAGGAGTAAGGCCAGCCCCATATGCCAGAGGTGGTGGGTTCAAACCCAGCCCTGGCCAAAAACTGCAAAGAAAAAAAAAGTTTTGTGTGTCAAAGGACACTATCAAAAGAGTAAAAGAACAATGCACAGAATGGAAGAAAATATTTGTGAACCATATTTCTGCTGAAGAATTAATACTCAGAATATATCCAGTTAAGCACAGACAAGATGTTAATGTCACCGGCCACTAGGGAAACACAAATCAAAAAGTATATATATAAAAGTAAAACAAACAAAACAAAATTATGTGTTTATGCGTGTGTATTACACATATGTACACACACACTAGAAAAGTTAATAAATATAGATATCAGACTGTATTAAAGTAATCCTCTCTGATGGAGATTCCTGGCACAAAGAGGGAACTTTAACGTCTTTATGTCATTTTATTAAATTAGACACTCTGGGGGACGTTTGATTTCTTCTGTGTGTTTCAATATTGTCCAAATTCCATATATGTGTGTACGTGCCTGGGCCTCTGTCTATATGTGGACACACACACGTATGTCTGTGTGAACGTGTGTCTGACTCTCTTGAATAAGCTGTTCACTTTTTTATTAAAGCAGTACAGTAAAATTAGAGAGGAAGGGCTCAGAGGTTTTCATTTAAATGAGAGCAGCAGAGCAGAGCAGGAAGATTGAGGGTGGGGGTTACCAGACCTGAGCTTATCGCCACTATGGGACTTACTGCCCACCTGCCTGCTCCCCCATTCCTGCCTGCTCCCCCATTCCTGCCTGCTCCCCCATTCCTGCCTGCAAAGTTCCCTCATCTGCCTCCTACCTCCCCACTTCCCTCTCTATCTTGATTTGCTCTTCTCTTTTCTCTCTTGTTTCAACACTTATTGACCTTTTATTGTCCTAAGAAGCTAGAAAGAGACCCGGGATAGAGATGTGTCTGTATCAGCTTCAGCACTTGGTAGCTAATAGCTTAGGTCAAGTCCTCTGATCTCTCTGTGCCTCCTGCGAGGATCCCAACAGCACCCATCTGAAGAGGCTGTTTTTAGCACTGAATGGATTACCACCTGGAAACAGCCTAGGATGAGGCTACTGTGAGTACGTGGGGATGTTTGCTGTGATCCTTGGTCCCAAGGTGTCTGCCCTTACTCAGCTTCGGGTTTAATCTTTCCACCTCTCCTAACCCGCCGTCCACTTGTAGCCGAGCTATCTTGGTTTTTGCTTGTTATGAAGGGGGATACAGAAGACAGGGTGGGGTGGGGAAGGGTAGGGGAGGGTTACTGATCTCTTCAGCTTGTATTACCTCTTTGGAAAAATAAATGCCCTAAGTTTACCATCTACTATGATATTCTATTAGTGGGAAAGATGTCAGAATGTACACTTAAGGCAGCAGGTTCTTGAACCAGCAGGAGACGTCCCCAGTGTTCAATTCTGTCCAACCAGGGAGAAAGGGTCTGTGTCTGCCTGCCCTAGCTTTAGGTCTTCAATTGTGAGACTGTCCTCTGAAAGCTGAAATGCGGCTCGCCTGTGGCTCAAGCGGCTAAGGCACCAGCCACATACACCTAAGGTGGCGGGTTCGAATCCCCAGCCTG